ACACAACGTACTGAAGTAATATAAATTAGTCTCTGGCAATTTTCCCTGAAATCTTACTGGTTTTCATATGGACCCACTGTGCAGTGGTGAACAACGAATACCACACAAAAGGGAATAAAACACAAGCAGTGTTGAGTGAGCGGCTAACGCACTACAAACAGACCAACGACAACGAACCAACAGAGATGTGTGGGGAGAGCAAGAGCTTGTTGGTACGTTTGTTTGTTATTCGGCTCACACTGAACAAGGCGGCTGGAATGCGAGAGTGATATTTGTTGTTGATACACACGATCAGCAACACAACGAGAATGAACCAACAGTGAGTGGGGGAAAGAACGATTGAACAGTAATAGTGATGAAGAGAAGTAATTTGTTGGTGGATCGAATGTTAACAAACAGACGCTATAAAAAGGCGCGTGGAATATTAGGATGTTATTGTTGTTATACTTAGACGAACAAACAAGGAGAGTTGATGTGATGTATTAGTTGTTGATAGTTTTGAGATCAACAAAAGAAATTAGAATAAGGGCACGATGAGTATTCGTATTGTTGTTAGTGCTTTTTCTCACTAGTGGCTGTCGAAGTCAACGAGAAGGCAGGGGTGTATATGTAGACTTAGTGAGAAATAACAAATAAGCATTACACAATAGATCACTGGCTAACAAATTAAAGCAGTGATATGCGACAATGAGTGGACTGTATATTTAGGAATGCGCGAGTTTAGGTAATTGTAGGGCGACCAGTGCGTGACGTAGCGAACAAATTTAACAAAATTGAATATTTATTTTTGTAAAGCGAAATGTAAAAACGAAAACACTCGCGGTATGCTCAATATAAAAGAAACTGAACTACGTACCTTTGAGTTTATGATGTTGTTTGTGTATGATGATGCAGTTTTTGATGTTTATGGTTTTGGTGAATATGATGATGATATGTTGTGTATGGTGAGGGGTGATGATGTTTTCTCCTTTAAAATAGCGACAAGTGCGAAATTGTTGGTAGATTATCCGACTTGATGGGATCAAAATGCAACAACAATGCTAGGAAATATCCGGCTCTAACGGATCAAAATGTTGGCGTGATACCGAAAGAAAAACAAAATAAAACAAATTTGGTATTAGAATATGTATTTTCAAACTTTATTCGGTAAGTTAATGAGTTTCGAAAAGAAACAAAACTTTACCTTAAGGCGTGCGTGCGAGATCGAAAGCGATAAATATCTGTGGACTTAAAAGAATAGTAGAATTTTAAAATAATAAACTTAACGAAAGTCTTATAAAAAACCAGTGAGCGGAGTAGTATAGTCGGACGGGGCCGACCATACGATACCCTACACAACTACCACGGAAATCAAACTTTCTGCGGATGTTTATTCCAAGCCTGGACAATATTTGGTGATATTTGCACCCTCTTGCCCGATTAAAGGTAAACAGCACCTCTTCCTTACACTGACATATTTTCCGAATATTTCGAGTATTCAGTACAGCTATTGTCCGGATTCCTTTCACCGTGGGTTGTGTTGTGATGTTCGGCTTTCATTTGGGGTCTATAGATCGTCAGTTGCTTATTTGTTGACTTTTATGGCAGAATTAGTCACATGATTTTAGCAGGTTACGAGTAAATTTCTCAAACGTTTTATGTACTACATCGAATGATGGAATTTAATTTTGTTTTCATGAAGAATAAGAAAATAGAATCTATATTTAGAAGAGAAATATCAGTAATTTATAAATAGAACGGAAATCAAAAATGAAACTCCAAGCAATAATATGGTATAGTTCTCATGCAAACGTTCCCGATTTACGATGGTCTATCGGCTTTAATTTTGAAGAATTATTAGCTGTTGTAAGAAATACATAGTCCCCATCTTTATTGAAAACATTTATACAAAAACTTTTCTTTACGGGTTCGCTTTCTTTTATAGTGGTTTATGATATCTTTCCTATTTTATTTATTGTTTTAAAACATATTAGGTTCGGCCTAGACGAACTTATATCTTTCAGATGTATTTATAATACATGTAGCATAGATAAAACAAAATAGATATTCGTGTCCCGTACATCATGTATTTTTCCTGGCAACAGTCTACAATAAAAACAACCATGCTGCCTGTCAGGCTTCACCCTTTATAAAGCAAAAACGGAAGTCATATGATGTCTACCCCAAGAATAAATAGGGTCTTCCTGCCAATGAACTCCTTTGAATCCTTTATTGTATAGTTCAATGAATTCTAAGTCTTGCATCCCCTTTTCGTCAAATTGGGCTTTACATAGAGAAAATTTAATTTACTTCTGACAAACAAAAAACCTCTGTAGAATGGGAATGACAATCAGGAGCAGACAGACCCTCCGCCATCTATAAAAAAACCAAAGAAAAACCTAGATATTGTCCGTGAAAACGTGTTCACATCATTGTACCCAAAATAATTATCTGGACAAAGCATAACGAATTGATTACGAATAAGAGGCAATGAAATGGATCAATGTACAATTTGATAATATCATTGCTTGTCGGAATGTGTGTATGGTACATTTCACAATTTCATTAAATAACTTTGTCGAATTGTGGTATATTTCTATATTTAACGGAAGAGAAAGGAAAGGGACAATTTTAGTTGTCATACAGCCTATAGAGTTATTTTTGGAAACGAACTAAATGATAAAAACGTCATAGTAGAATTTCAGTGTAGTGTAAACGATAAAAAAATACAATACCAAAAAGAAGATGGCGAGCCATTCTCCTTCCTTTGTTGTAAATAAGTAAGCCAGACAAACATGAGAGTATTATTGTATTCAAGGAAATACTTGGGGCATTGAATTTTCTTTTTAAGGAGACAATTATGTCAATTCTTATCATTGAAGACTTCAAAAACATTTATACAAAGTCTTCAGTGTAATGCACGTCTATTTACCAGCCGGTTGAAAACACACAAAAATTTTAAATCATGATTGAGGGAGTGGGTGTTCTGTCAATGGTTTACGAATGTATGCAATGGCTGTTCATTTCAATGATGTGTTAAACAAGATGAATAATACTGTATTCGCATCTTTAACTACAATTCCTTATACAAACAATTGCAATTTAATAATCCTAACAAACGTCACATTTTGAAGGAACGGAATATCGTTCCTTCAATACACATTATTCTGCAGTATGTGCTAAATTTAAATTAATTAAATTAATTTACAATGATTTTTAGCAAAGTTGACACAAAGATATAGTCTTTGTTTCATTATTTACATATAGGGTCTTTTTTGCACCATTTACATAAAATCGGACGAAAATATATTTTGGAGCTATATCTAAATCTAGATTTCTTTTGTTAAATTTTTATAGAGTTCATCCTTGGGTCAAATAAGTGAGGTATGCCAAATTTCATCTCATTTGGATAATAAATGTGACCTGTACTTTGTTTACCATGCACAAACAACCTAACAGATACTAGCATCGAAAATACATATCCAAAAGTGGACCTATACCGAAAATTTAATGTACACCAAATACAAATGTCTGCAATTTTTAATGGATATTTTTTCTAAAAACCCCAAAAAGTGGTCCGATATTGACGACGCATGGTAGGATGGAACATCTCCAAAATACTACAATTAAGAGGTCACAGTTATATAAGGTCATCACCAGATTTTATTTCGGCCTAATTGAGAAGAGATATAGTTCTAATTCCAAATTAACATTTTTGCATCAGAAATTTACATCTTTACATCAGAAAATCGGTAGTTATCATTATATGGTGGCTAGGCCTAAATGTGGACTATAGTTCAACGTTCTCGATATCCTCCGCAGGCGAAATAATTACAACAGAGTTTTAGAACCAAACCCAAAACGCGGAAAAAAAATCAGATGACTATCTTAGTATAAACCAGTAAGGAAAGTAGTAAAGTCGGACTGGGCCGACTATAAAATAACCTTCACCACTTTGGGCATGTGGTAAATATGTATCCTTACAATTGCATATCACTATTCCCTCGAAGGAACATGATCATGTCATTCTGAAATCTATTCTAAATCTAATTTAATTCGGGCAGATTTAGAGTCGTATGCGTACCATGGGACAAATTTATGGAAAATGATTTATAGCAGCAGTGCCCAAAATAGGTCCCAATGATAAAAATAGAAACATTTGAAAATAAAAAAAATTCAAAATTGTCATTCATTCCGTTTTGTTTTCATACACTGAACGAAAAAATTAGGACATTTTTCGCAAAAATTAGTTCAGAAGAAGTCGAAATATGTGACAAATACAATGGGAATTGGCAAAACAGAAGCAAATCTATCTTTATATAGGAAAATATATCATTAACAAGCATATTTGCATTGAATTCAAAGTGTTTTTCTGTCTTCAAATTTGAAATACAAGTTTTTACAATTTTTCTCACAGTTTAATAAGAGAGAAACATACATTTGAAAATTGTATATATGAAACAAATACAATAACAAACATTTGCATGTATTAGTGTGGACAGCCTTCCCTGTAGGGAATGGAAATAGTAAAATTGTAGTAATTTTATACTGACATTGTCGTTAGTACTACTGACTAAGTGTACCCAACTTAATGTAATCTTCTATTGACAATTAACATTACCATGTCATAGGAAATCCACCAGTAGACAGAAGTTCTACTGACTAGGTATTACTTTGACATATGGCGACATTGACACCAAAGATTCACTAGTACTTCTTGGCAGATTGAGTCTACAATATTATTGTGAATTGTTGACACCAAAATTGTATTCATTCATATGATTTATTTAATGTCATTAATTATTCTATATATATATATATATATATTATTAAATAAATACACAGATTAAAGCAATTAGTCTTACAGTTAAAAACAAGCGAAAAATTTATATCTGGATAAAGATAAATCAATTAATTTCATTTTCAGCTTTACAGTTTCAGTCTTACAATTAAAAAACATAAGGGACAAATATATATGTACAGAAAGATTAAATTAATTAAATTCATTTTCTTCAGTCTTACAATAGAAAAAACACAAGGCAAAAATATATATGTACATAAAGATTAAATTAATTAAATTCATTTTCTTTGGTCTTATCATTTATTTCTGCATTCCTGCGGCTGTTTTCTTTAAAGAATTTCTTTTTTTGACGTTGAAAAGCTGTTCTTAGAGCCTTGTCTGCACACTTGTCGTACGTTGATATTACATCTAAGTATTGAAACAAAAAGATTAAATTTAATTATTGGTATTTTTGAAAGGTTTTTTGGCTTTGTACCTATTATTGCTGCATGGACTTTTCCATATTTAGATAAACTTTTCTTGCCAAAAGTTCCATCCACATTGTAATTCATTATAATAGATTTCCCAAATACAAGGTGTAAATTGCGTGCGACGTTGCCACCAATGAGATTTTTCATTTGGCGAATCTGCAAGAATAATTATAAATTTTATTAATTAATTATACATTCTATTTCCTGAATACAAAAAGCTTACATATGGGTCTGACTGAGTTGCTAATAAGTCTTCTAATTGCTTTAGACTTTCGTCCGTGTTTATTGGGAAGATGGCCATAATGTTTTGCACAATCGAGTTTTGGGAACCAATGCGATCTAGCAAAATTTTATGCTCGCCCAAAATCTGCGGTATCGTGTCCATTTTTTTTCCTATATCTTCACACGAAGTACACTTTGAAGTTGCTGGAAAAATATATAATGTTGTAATGAATACAATTTCGGTAATGCGAATTCGTTATATTAAAACTTACCTTCTGAAGAATAATATTTCATTTTTCCCTTGGATGGTATTGCTCTTTCGTCAGACATTGTTGTGTAGAGCGGGTGTACAAAATTAATATTAACAATGTGCTATTTACTGGAAGATCTTGGAATATTGGCTTGTACTTTTTCTGGAATGCATGAGTGTAAAATGGGTATTATTACGTAATCCGAGTGAAATGGCAGGCATACAAATTTATATTGCACATCTCTAATTGAAAATTTTTGCTTTTCGCCCAAAGCTAAATTTGTTTTGAAGATGCCTAGTTCGCAAGAATTTACGGGTTCATCGTAAAAACTCTCTAAGAGCAGCAATGCCCGACCTTCAATATAAACTTCATCGACTTGATTTATATTTTCAATTTTTATGGCAGTAAATGAAGTCGTGGAACAAATATTATCGGGCTCCTTCCAAGATATGTAACAGTCATTAACAAAAGCTCCTACAATTATATCTCGTTCGTATTTAATGTCATCGTTTTTAGTTTGAATATAGGCTGCGAGTTTTTCTTTTCGTACAATTTGTTGAAGGATTAATGAGGGTTTTCGGACATGTCTTTTCAAAATCTGCAATTTGTTTTCGAAGTCGTATGCAGAAAACGAAATAAGGGGGCCGTATTTTTCTGCACAAGAAGCCAAATGCAGCAGATTGTGAACATTAAAAGAAACACTGTTTGGCCCGAATACAGTTGAGAAATTCTCGACAAATAATTGAAGCAAATCATTAGACTGTTTAATATTTTCAGCAACGTGTCGCGGGGAGCTAAGTAGCCGATAAGCACAATGTAAAGTTAAAAACTCGTAGAATATATCCTGGTGTAATTTATTATGAAGGACAATTATGCCCGTATATGCGAGGAACTGGTGAAATTCAGTCGCTTTCCAGTGATGAAGGTCATCTAAAGACCTAGGTTTTCTAGGAAACTCCTTTGGAATACATTTTTTTAGTTTCACTAGGTCAGAAGATATTTCTGATATATTTTTTTTTGGAGTCTTTTCTTGTGTTTTGTTGTTCACTATTCTAACAAGCATTTTTTTGTGACTCCAAGGTCAATAAGATGCATGCTATCTAACGGAGTCTGTGATACCATGCCAAATCCTATTTCTTCAAGCGGACTTCTCTCTTTCTTAAACAGTTCAGAATGATGGTTGGGATACTTTCTCAAAGTAAAATCAATATCGGATATCAAAGTTCCAACAGCGCTACTGTATGTCAGTACATTGTTCACTTTTGTCGCAACCTGTGTGCACTTCGTACAACCATACTTTGAGGTATGCCCAGGAACGCCGCAAATGAAAGCTTTGGCTGGAGTATCGCATGTTAAGCAACGAAACTTTAATTTCATTATTTTTCCATTTAACGTAATTTCCTTTAATGAAGTTGCTTCCTTAACGAAGTCTTTTAAATAATCTTTAATGCAACTCGGTTTAGTGGTTCCCAAGTATATACCAACAGCAAAAGGTTGAGTTTTTTCTTTTATGTTGACTATTTTACAAAGAATTGGCCACAATTGGACTCGCGAGCTTTCAAACAGGGGAATCCCGTCAATGTTTATATCCAAAACGACCTCGTCGTAGTTTTGCAAAACGTGTTCAAACTTCTTTAGCTGCGTTTCAATTCCAATGTGGCAGTAGCTTCCAGGGCAAACATTTCTCACCAAAACCTGTGCTTTTTTTCCCAACAAACTTTCTATACGAAGTGGAACATCTAGACCTTCCTCATTTAGTATTAATAGCAGCTTCTCCGCACATTTCCTAGAAGGAGCTGTTTCGATGTACCACTTCCTCAATTTGTCCCGCAACGTCAATTTCGGAATAGCACAATCCTCCGAATTCTCCACAAAATCTTCATGGTCTTCTAGAATTTCACATTCACCATTTTCTTGCTCATTTTGTACACTTCTGTTTATATAGATTGTGGCTTGTTTTTTAACAAGTCTTTTATAATGTCTTTTACTTATATTTTGTCTTTTACTCATATTTTATAATTTTTTTTATTTGTAATCACTTTAAATACCTTATTCGCACAATAACTCCAACAATATTTTTCGCACAATGCACAATTTCAAGCAACACGTGTGTTTTTCACAAAAGAAACTAATGAAATGAGAAGCAAAGCAAACATCAAAAAATGTGTATCTATTGACATCAAAGTCTAACGGTAAAAAACTGTTGACGCGATCGTTGACAATGTTGCCACAAATACACTACAGATAAAGTCTACAACGTTTACATACTCCCGCAATAAAGGGAAGTTGTTGACATTTTATCTAGTACCATTTTTGCTATAAAATAGGTGGTGACATAGAGATACATGGTTCTCTGCTTGACTACAGGGAAGTAAACCGAAGTGACTATAATTCGGATGTCCATTGAAATTTTTCCAAAATATATTGAATATAGGTCCATGTTTCGATATAGCCTAATATGACAGATATGTCGAAACGTTCAATTTTCAGATGGTGTTCGCCGAACTTCTTCATTTTTTAAATCTTCTCCGGATAAAATTTTCCAACCTAGTCCTCGTATAATAAAATACCAATAATACACACATACATATGTATCTACATATGTATTGTACATACACATATATCCTGCGGAACAATTTGCCTCATTTGGTTTATCATAGGATAAGGAAAACATGAACATTTCATTTTTATTTGTCACATATATTGTTTGACACACACACATGTGTGCCAGACAGACAGCCCAACAGACCGGTAGGAACGAACAACAAGAAAAAAACAGTTTCAGACTCATATTTATAAAAAAAATAATAAATACAATTTCAAGGCCACAATATATGAAAATTTACCTATAAAAAATGAAAATAAAGTTTAAGCACCATAACAATGTTATGCAAATATTCTATAAGTATGAAAGAGAAGGACAGAGGGAGAGAGTGCCGGAGAGGAGTGACAGACAGGACACCAGGGGATCTACTTTTTTGCCATCAACATCATCACAGCAAATGGAATATTTGTGGTTTGGAGAAAATTATATTAATTTTTTCTCTTCCACTCCCTTTTGAATGCCAGCCATCAAAAATGTTTCCCATACGATCATCAACATTGTATGTCACATACATACATAAATATATACGAGTACACACTGTGTTATGATGGCAGTTGGTTGGTACGTTTCTGTCACTCTCTTTTTCTTTGGTTCCTTTAGTGTCTATCTATCTGTCTGTATGTCTGTCAGTCAGTTGGTTTATCATATGACTTTATGAAATTATGTGAAATGAAATTTTCCTAAAAAGAAAATGAGATTTTTGTTGGCAAAAATTTCATAAAAATGAAAGCTGAACACAAACACATCACACACACACTAGGACAGGCAGGGAGGCATACATTGACATATTTAAACATATATGTATATTTATATATATGTTTTTCTATATGCTATCCCATGTGAATGTCACCTTATGTACATACCCAGTTGTTCAAAAAATATCAATTGTCTGCTATTATATAGTTATATAGCTAGTTACTTGGTGATCTAGTTACTTAATACTCCAAAAAGGAACACAAAATAGACAGTTGGATTTTTTTGTCAATTGAAAAAGTTGTCTACGCACATCACACCAATTCAGTAGTTACTGGTAATGCAAAGGGTAATGAATCGACTATCGAAATGACTGTATACCGGTAACGCAGGCAGAGGACAATTGACTTCCCCAATGACATACCCATGTTAAATTCACCAGTCTAGGGCATGAAGTGGTAACTAGTGGTACTTACAGGTAATTAGTGAAATATCTAGTTCGTCACCAGTTACTCGAACTACTGGGTAGTACCTACATACGTATATGTTGTGAAGATTTGTGACTGCTTCATGATGTGTTATTTATGTGGTCGTTTGTAGGTGTAGATGTTTGTGTGTGTGTGCTTGTGTGTATGAGAGTATATTATTAGATCAGTTTGATGGACAATTTTATACTCCAAAATATGCCATGGCATATTGGCCAGGGCAATGTGTCACATAGCATATTAAATTTTTTGTTGTTTAAAAACGATTTGCTCTTAGATAATTTTCTATGAAATAATAAAATTTACTCAAAATGTCAATTGAACTAGAAATTCAAAGAAAAATGCAATTAAAAATTTCAACAAAATTGTAGTGGTTTAATTTTTTATTACTCAATAAAATTTTGAGAAATTTATTTAAGATTATTTGTTTAAATATTGTAAATAGGGTTTGGGTCAGTTTGTGGAATATTTTTAAAGAAGATTTTATTAAGAAATGAATTTAAGTGTGTGAAATATTTTTTAATAAGAGAAGAAGAACTATTATAAGCGAGAAAAATATTATTTCAGGCACGACAATTTTTACACAGATTTATGGATTATTATAATCATGAAAATCATAAGAATAATTTCACGGACTGTTAACGAATATTAGAGGGGTGCATATTTTAAAATATTTTCTGACGATTTTTAAATGACATTTTCCAAGGAATATTATAAAAGAGGAGTTTCGAGGTCTATAATTGACTGAATGTTTTAAAAATATATTTTTCAAGTACAACATGCGTGTCTCTCAGGGATTACGTGAATATTTATAGAATATTTTTCAATGGATTTTAAAGGGGCAAAAAGCGTGGATTTATAAGAAATATTCTTTAGGGGCTACTCGAAGAAAGATTTTTAAAGATTATTTTTTTTCAAGGAATCCCAAGAAGCGTCGATGTTTAAGCAATATATTTTTCAAGGGACCACGAGAAGCGTGGATTTTTAAAGAATATTTTTTTAAGGAACCACAAGAGGCATGGATTTTTAAAGAATATTTTTTTAAGGAACCACAAGAGGCGTGGATTTTTAAAGAATATTTTTTTAAGGAACCACAAGAGGCGTGGATTTTTAAAGAATATTTTTTAAGGAACCACAAGAGGCGTGGATTTTTAAAGAATATTTTTTTAAGGAACCACAAGAGGCGTGGATTTTTAAAGAATATTTTTTAAGGAACCACAAGAGGCGTGGATTTTTAAAGAATATTTTTTTAAGGAACCACAAGAGGCGTGGATTTTTAAAGAATATTTTTTAAGGAACCACAAGAGGCGTGGATTTTTAAAGAATATTTTTTTAAGGAACCACAAGAGGCGTGGATATTTTAATGAATAACTTTTCAAGGAACCACTAGAGGCGTGGCGTTAATTATATTACAGAAATATTTTCTTATTCAAAGTCCAACAGAAGCGTGGATTTTTTAAGAAATTTTCTTTTTTAAAAGCGGATTTTTTAAAGAAATTTTCTTTTTTAAAAGCGGATTTTTTAAAGAATTTTTCTTTTCAAAAGCCAACCGAAGCGTGGATTTGTTTTAAAGAATATTTCTTCTTCAAAAGGCAATCGAAGCGTGGACTTTTTTTCAAAAGTCAATCGAAGCGTGAATTTTTTAAAGAGTTCTTCTTTTTCAAAAGCCAATCGAAGCTTGGAAGCGTTCGATGGTTATGTTTAGTTTGGTTGTAGTCCCAAATAAGGTACCCATACATGTATTTTGATAGTCCTGGGGGATTTTTATCGAATGTAGGGACTATTTTGAATTTTTTCCAGGACTATATTTTATCTTAATTTTTTAAACAGTTTTTCAACGAGCTGTTATATTTTTCATTTTTTTATATTTTTAAAAATTTTAAATTTAAGCATAAGTTTTTAATATATCTATTAATAATATTTTTCCAAGGAATTTTTATTTTGAACATTTTCCAACGACTTTCATAATTAAAACCAGACATATTTTCCGAATATTACAAATATTCAGTAGAGTCCTTCTAAATACTTGCTCATATTCCCTTC